ACATGGCTCTGCAATTCTTACTTCCACATTTCACCATTTTGGAACCAGAGGGCTTTTCTGTTTTTTTTTCTATTGACATCTAGAATTTAGTAGATCAGTGCGCTGACACAAGAGGCCTTTTACTGTCCACTTAAGAGTGAAAGAAGTGGTAGTTCTCATTTGGTTTATAGCTTACTATTTGAAATACAATGAAACAAATGTCAAGATATTCTCCAATTGTATCTTTAAAGCAGACAGTTGTTGTCTCTCAACTGGATGGTTGGGGTTTGATCCCCAGCTCCTGCGGCAAACATGTCTGACACTTAACCCTGAATTGCTCCCGCAGCTTTGTCAGCAGCGTATGAATGTGTATGATCGGGATAAATGACCTCTAAAGGTCACTTTACATAGCAACCTCTGCGTGTGAATGGGTAGGTGTGACATGCAGTGTAAAAAAAGACTAGAAAAGCGCCATACAAACTCAAGTCTATTTACCATTTAACATTTGGTATGACATATTGTGTCCAGAAATTTGAACACATGATCAATTTAAAAATGCATTAAAAACTTTAAGCTATGATAGTGGTGTATCTTTATCTTTATCTTTTCTTGTGGTTAGTTCTCTCCACTTTTGTCCTCATGAAATGTTTAAACAACTATGGGATGAATTGTACAGAAATTGATACTCCCCAGATGCAAATGAATACTATTGACTTCAGAGATATCTTAGTTTTGTTTAAGCGTCACTATTAGAGTATCATTTGGGATTTTGAAGTGAAATGTCTGAACAATTATCGACTAGGTTTTTCATTTTGTGACACACATTTAAGATCCTGACTGCAACTTTAGTTAAAATTCAAATCTGTAAACTTCACATTTGAACATATTACATATTAACAGTGAAATGCTGCATGGCTGAAGACTGTTTATATTGTTACATTTTCTTTAAGAACAAGTTGAAGGGATACGTATAATGTACTGTAATGCTTAATTAGGGAAAAGTTCGGCAAGTTCCTAATATTCAACTTTTGTGTATTGATGCATGTTTTTGTGCGTTTGTCTTCAGATATGTGATCAGCACACTGGAGCTGATGGTGGCCGAGGACTACATGATCGTGTACTTAAATGGAGCCACACCTCACAGAAGAATGCCCGGCCTTGGCTGGCTGAAGAAATGCTATCAGATGATTGACAGAAGGTATTTTTCCTCTTAATCAGTTCATATTGAGTAGCATCTTAATAAAAAAACATTATCTCCCCTGAATGGAAAGTAGACATAAGATAGGACAAGGACACACTCACACCTAACATTTGACATATTTTGTTGTCTCCAGGCTCCGGAAGAATTTGAAATCCTTCATTATTCTCCATCCGTCGTGGTTTATCAGGACCGTTCTAGCTATTACCAAGCCATTCATCAGGTAAAGAAACAACAGAATAACTTAAAAAATATTTTGGTTATCATTGGGTTTTATAACTTTTGTTGTCCAACAGCGCAATTTTCATTTCTGCACACTATTCTATTCTGGAAAGTTTAAGCCATGTTTGGTTCAAATGACTAAATGCTAAACACAGAAAACATTATACTTCTGAACTTCAGGACATTTCTCTTTTGCTTTGGGACAATTCTAGTATGCTGTGTTAGCATTAAGCTTACTGCACTTCTGTAATGAAGTTCAGCCTCACGGAGATGCTAGCATGGCTGTTAAATCCTTTTTTAGAAAACAGACTATAATTTTGTTTCTCGGATGCCAAGCCAGTTACTGCCCACCATCTTCTTTATGTGCCTGTCATTGCACTGGTGCTTGATTTTATGTGTGTGTGTCCATGTTGCTCTTGTCACAGCGCCAAGTTCAGCAGTAAAATAAAGTATGTGACCAGTCTGGATGAGCTGCAGGAACTCATCCCCATGGATAGCATCCAGATCCCAGAGTGTATCATTAGGTGAGTCCCTCCAGCCCCCTAAAAAATGCACCACCCCCAACCTCCACTGAGCATGAACTATCTCTTTACATCTTCATCTTGTCATTTGAACTCTCACCTTTAGACTTGACAAGGAGCTGAAGGAAGCTGCAGAGAACTCAAAGTAAGTACCGACTCTCCTGCCTCTCTTTACTTCGCTCTGCAGAGCCAGTGGCCCCTGTCTCAGTTTTATCCTTGGCTGGAGCGCTCATTTATCAGATGGCTCACTTTCACATCACAGGGACTCTTCTGTTGGAAGAGGACCAATTGGATCTGACTAAGGCTGCAATTAAAGGAGCCTGGGAAAAAAAGTTGCTAAAGATGCTAAATGCATTGTTTTATCTCATTAATCATTACTGTAAAATAGATGAGCCCGTACTTATTTCACAGTGATCGATTACACTGATAATAAATGCACGAACTGTAGAATCCATTATAATCTCTTGCTGACTAATTCGTCATTCACACAGCGGCCATTTTCCTTTGATTCAGACACAGACCAAAGCCGACTTGTGTGAAGTTATAAGTGGTAGAAATGCAGAAGATATTTCTTGATGGATAAGCAACCGGTTAGACAATGAATTGTGAAAATCTTAAAGGTCCCATATTATGCTTTTTCTGGTTTTATATGTTGTTTTCCAAGTGTCCTGTGCATGTTTAGGCACATCTATGTGCAAAAATTCAAAGTCTGCGGAAACGCGTCTTCTCCTACGTCCTCCTGTTAGCTGTAGCATTAGCCGCATGTAACGCTCGGTTCTAGCCCCCCTCGATAAAAATGTGTCAGTCCGACGTCATTGTCAGTGTGAGATCACTGATCTAAGCCCATTGGCTCGTTGTGGCAAGCCCAGCAGCTCATTTTGAAATTTCCAAGAAGCGTGCTGAGCAACTGACCAATAACGACAGAGTGGATCAGCAGACCAATCAGAGCAGACTTGGCCCACGTGGGGTCTAACAGTGTGGGCTCAACAGAGCGTAGCTGACGAACTTTAGCTATTGTGAACATACAAAAGTAGGTACATAGATTAAATATACGAACCCCAAAAAGGGCATAATATGGGCTTTTTAAGGAACTATGGGTCGAATTTAAAATTAAAAGTAAAAAAACTTAGTTAATAACCCATTAGCCATCTCTAGACAAAGCTAACGTTAGCACCCAGCCAGCTCCTAGTTGAACCATTTAATGGGAAGTAACTGAAAGGTAAAGTTATCTTTTTATTGTGTGGTGTACGATATGATAGGAAAGCAGTATTTGCTAACGACAGTATTGCTAGGAAGTAATAAAAAGCTAACTTTAGCTGTTGTTTGATGGTAGCTAATGGGTAGACCTTTATGTTGTTTAAATAAAGGAACGTTTATTTGCACTTTTCTTTTCCTATCTTACAACAGTTTAGTTTTGAAAGGTTACAATAGCATTCAGCCACTTCCTTGCTTCCTACAATTTAGAAAAGTGACTGACTGCAAACATTAGCATTTATCTGATGATTGATAACGGTTGATGAAATAAGTTGTTTTACTTTTAATTTGTTCTAATATTCTTCCACATTTTTACTATTGATTGAGTGCCTGCAGCGAAAAAGTCAGAAGACAGCAGCTGTGTGATTGTCAGTTGTGCTTTGAATCACAAGTTATATGTCTTTAAATTCACAAAATATCTCGTCATAACAGCTATACATTCTACTCTGCCCCTCATTGTCTTCTTTCATTCAAGAATGAATAGTTTTCTGCTGGGACCAGAGCCAGCGGCAGCAGCGGCAGCAGCAGCAGCAGCCGCAGCAGGCAGAACAGAGTAAGTCCTCGCAGACGTTTAAATTCACACACAGAAGAGTAATGGCCCGGTGTCAGCAGTCTGTCACCCATACATAAACATACCCAACTTTAATGTCTCTATTTTGTTCTTTTTGGTCTTCGCAGCAGGCAAAACGCAGCCGGTGCCAGCAGCACTTAAACCCAAGACTCCAAAATGGATGGGTCACCTCAATGTTCAGAAGTCACTGTTGTATTTTACGGGTGAAACTGGGAAGGCCTGTTCAGCTGTAGTGTGTGTGTATGTTTGTGTGTGTGTATGTGTGTGTGTTTCAGGGGATGCCAATAAGTCACTGGATTTAAATATGAAACTTACAATCTTACACTCAGAGGTAGATCTCATTCTTTACGGCTGCTGTAGCATCTTTACCTTAAACTTACAATCCAGAGAACTATAAAGTTGAGTGTGATGCTTGGCAGCACGTCCAGGGTAGCATCACCGTTCACGGTAGGGTAGGAAATGCAATTACACACCAGACAGTGCACTGCGCAAAATCCATTTGTAGAGTCGATAGTGTTTGTAGTTGTGTGCATGAGAAGCAGCGAAGCAATAATATCATCCTTTACTGGTCACACGCTCTCAGTATTTCAGATAAATAAGTAACCTGTGTGTCACCAACTTACAATAAAAGCACAAGGTTTTTGCCAAAAAGACAAAGAAAAACCTTGTGCCATAAATGACCAAGTATTGCAGTTAGGCAATCACAACCTCTGTCTTAGTGAGTACTTGTTCTAAAACTGAGAAATAAACCTAGAAATAGAAATGTTTCACTTTATAGAGTCTATGAAACCGAGAAGGAACAGGTTAAAAATCAACGTTTAAGTGCAATCTGAGAGCATGTCTTTAAAGCTGTGTGTGTGTGTTTACAGTCCGTCAAATACATGAGCATAATCCTCAGCTTCTCTTGGATCATCAAGATGAAACCTCAGAAGAACATCAAAAAGGGATATCTGTAAAGCACAATATCTTCAGTGTGTGTGTGTGTGTGTGAGAGTGAGCGTCTCTACACGCATGTGTGCATTTGTGCATCAGTGCATGTCCTCTCATAGATAACGGACTGTCCTCTCACACTCGAGTCCTCTTTGGTGTATAAAGGATGTTCAGAGAAATGATGGATCACTGTCTAGTAATTTAATAAACATGGACTGAAGTCTGAGTTTTGTTTTCTTCAGTCATTTCAATCATGTCAGATGAGCCAGTTTCATTGTGATTGCTCTGCTGCTAAATTGGAAATCATGAGTCACTCTTCCAATGCTTTCTTTTTGAGACTTTATTTGAACAGAACACCTTTTGAAATGAAAAGTCAAAGTCAGGAGAAAACATGGGGATGTAGGAAAGCAAAAGAAATACAACGTTTCATTAAGTTTACAATGCAAATCTGACACAACAATTAAAAAGATGGATAGTATGATTCATGACATTTTCAAAACTAGGTAATACTAATTCAAGTTATTTAATATAAAGATATATGCAGGGAGTCAACATACTTAAAAACAAGACTAGAACTGAAGCTTCATTATATAAAAAAAGCCCTTGAGAGTGTTTCACGTTGACTTTTTTAGCTGTACTTTTCATTTTGTGAATGGATAGCAGTTGTAGAATGCCGCGCTTTATAAATAGCTTCTCATGTCTCGTTTCAACTCATATTCAGAGGAGGATAAATGGGTCTGCCCCCCCTGGGTAGGAGGAGATGAAGAGCACAGAGGAAAGAGGAAGGATAAAGGTTTTCTTAATCTTCATCGGAACGTGTAGCTCTCGTCATCGTACTCCAACTCATCCTCGTTGTCCTCTCCCAGCTGTCCGTACCGGAACTTTCTGTACACAGTGCCATCCTGACCCATGTAAACAATGTCCTCGTCCTCGTCATCGTCGTCATCCTCCTTAGCCCCTGAGCGACGCTCGCTGATGTCAACCAGCTGAGACTCTTGGAAGCGGCCTCCGGAGGAGGAGGAGCTGGCGCCACGGTTGCTGTGAGACGTAGAGGAGGAAGAGCTGTAGCCGCCATGTCTGCTGCCTCCGTAACCCCCGCCGGAGCCCAGCTTCTCGTAGCCGCGGGGAGTGATGTCCGGGGGTGCTCTCTTGGAGCGGGAGTGTCTGATGAGGAACACTACGGCTACTAGTCCAAGCACCAACAGGATGCAGGCGATGATGAAAAGGGCCAGGTTACCTCGAGCCTCCTCTTCCTCCTCGTTTCTGAAGGCCAGGTTGGTGCTGAGGACACACTCGCCTGGAAATCCCACACGGACAGGAAGTGGAAAGATAAATTGAATGTAGTCATATTTGATCTTTTCATCCTGTTTTCTGGGAGGATACATAAACATGACCCTGTAACTTTTCAAAAACATGAATTAGTCCCAACAACTTTCAGAGTTTTAGTTTCAGTTATTCACTTAATTCTTTCTGAACTTTGTTTTCTAAAGTCCAGATCAGAGAAGAAAGGAGCTGATAAAATACAAACATGCCAAACAGAGTCACCTTCACTCATTACAATGCACTCTCAGTAATAAGCTTAACAAGCATCAGAAAGTAATTTCCAGCCTTTGTTTTATCCCCCTGGGTTTCGCCTCCCAGGCTAAGGCTCTTATTATCTTAATGCAGGTTATTGGTGCTGTTTTTTAGTTCAGAGGAATATTTTGTTTAAAAAATTATCTAAACTATCTAAACTACTAAATTCTTCTCAAAAGACCAAAATCCCGAGCCAATAACTGATAAGAACGCCGTTCACTTTACTAAAGATGCGCTCACACATTATGAATCCTACAGTGTCAGATCTCTTAAGAACGCTCAACTTGCTTTAAAGCATCTGAGAGTTAATCTCTAAAATATTAAACATTCACAACTTAATAAGCAACAGTTAAAATATGAAATGTAGGAAATTATTTAACAAGTGTTCAAACGTCATCTGCTTCATCGGGACTGTGTGGGTCAGCTCTGATTAACAGTTGCCTTCAATTCACCAACTGTAAACTTTTTATTACACTCATTTCAAACCAGTGAGAAGAGTGCAGAGAAAATTACAGATATCGATATTAAGGAGAGAAAAAAAAAACATACCGATATATTGGCCGATATCTTTCTTAGCTCTTTCTATGGAGATAAATATAGTTATACACATTTATCGTGTTGATCCCCCCAATGCAGTTATCAAAAACTTGTGGAAAAGATGTATAATGAAGACAAGATGGTCACTCAACTGGAAAGTAACTACGCATGTGCGTGCATCACCACTTGACACACTGTTGTATCAATATAGTGACCTCTGCTGGTGAAAGAGAATTGCTAGTGTAATGCGCTGAAACTCAAATGAAATGCTATTTGACTGGTGAATAAATCCTGTAAAATCGGCTCGTATCTGAGATAAAGTTAACCGATATTGATAGTCACTGGATATGCTGCTATCGGCCTATATTATCGACAGGCCGATTAATCGGTCGGGCTCTAGAGAAAACACTTCAGACAAGAATCTTAGTATAAAATGACTAAACCATCAACACAGAAATGTCAAAGTGACTGATCTTTTTGTTTGTTTGTTTTGTGCCATCGGAGACATCTTTAAAAATGACTTCTTTTATAGACTCTTTTGAACTCTTCACTTTATTTTATATAATTATTTTGCTTTCATTTCTTCTATTTCTTTTTCAAAAAACTTTTATATCCTTTCTCTCTTATTTATTTGGTTCATTTTATATCTTCTTATTTATTTTGTGTCTTTTTATTGCTTCTATTTCTTCTTGCTTCACTTCCTGTCTTAGTTTGCTTATTAATGCTTAACCCCCTTTTTTTCCTCTGTTTTCTCTCTGCTTCACTTTTTGTTTTGACATATTTTGTTCTTCTGGTCTACATTTATATTAACTGTACCTCGTATTGCCTTGCTGTGTCTGGCCATGTTTGGGTTCTTTTGCTTCCTACTGAGTTTTGTGATTTTTCTGTAGACTGTAAATATTAATGGTCAAAGCCTGAGTGACGTCACGTTACTGCACACTACTGCAGGGGGCTGTGGAGTCCCATCAATGGCGGCCGGTCGCCATGCTGAAAATGCTGTCCCACCCTAACTTTCAGTCAACCCAACAACCACCTAAGAGCTGGACCTGAGGCTGGTTTTAAGCTTCTTAACAAATCATTACATGTCACTTGTCATCCCAGCCAGTCCCTCTATGCAACCACAGATCAATATCCAGCTTGGAACAACCAAACTCATGCCCACAAAGTCTGCCCTGAACCTGGGTGTCATGATTGATGATCAGCTAACTTTTAAGGTTCAAGTAGCCTCGATTGCCCGGTCATGTCGATTTGCCCTGTACAACATCAGGAAGATCAGACCTTACCTGTCAGAACACGCTACACAGCTCCTGGTACAGGCTCTTGTGATGTCACGCATTGACTATTGCAACTCTCTACTGGCAGGTCTTCCTACATGCACTATCAAACCTCTGCACATGATACAAAATGCAGCAGCACGACTCGTCTTCTACCTTCCTAAAAGAGCTGCAGAGTCCCTTTGCACCTTTAAGAAAAAGTTAAAGACCCAGCTCTTTCATGAATACCTACTAACTTAATGATGATGGTTTCGATTTCATTGATGATGATGATGGTTGTGACGATTGTTTTTGTTTGATAACGATGACTTATAAGATGGTTTCTATACTGATTAGAGCTCTCAAGAACTGCCCTCAAGGTTGTGCTTTGCCTCTGGTCACTTCCTGTCAGCACCTGTTTGTCCAATCGGACTCAAAGCTGATCATTTGCTCTTACTGACATTGTTCCCTTTTTTCTAGATCCTTGCTTGTGTTGTACTTACTCTCTGATGTACGTCGCTTTGGATAAAAGCGTCTGCTAAGTGAATTGTAGAATTACATCATGCATGCCCGCCTGTCAATCAGGTCAACTACACACCTCAAAAAGATCAAAAAGAAAGAGCTATTAAATGTACCCCCAATAAGCTAATCACACCAATTAGTTTTCTTTAACCAGGCTGTAAACATGTTAATCTCTGCTGTAAAAACTGGCTTTTCGTAATGGGTGTGTGTGTGACTTCGAGTGCTTCCGCAGCCAGCCTCAAGCAGACCCTCGACAAACTCCAGGATTTTGCCCTTCCATATCGGCTTCAATTTTCAACACCGGAGGTTGCTGCTTGAATTCTTTCAAGTCAAATAACTTTATAAAACTCATGTTTTTAAAGGGGCTTTACAAATAGATATTTTTCTTCTAATTATTCTAATTATTATTATTTTCAACTTCAACAAAGTAACTTAAATATTTATCATAAACTATAAACCATGTCATGTGAAGTCTACATTTTCCTCTGATTCTCTCTATAAGCAGCGCCGACCCACAGCCTACCCCGAGTCTCAGTGCAGTTACAACAGTCCTGCTGCTGCGTCGAGGCCTCCTCCTCCTCCTCTTCCTCATGGCGGCAACACAGCAGACAGCGCCCTCCAGCTTCTAAGATGGCCTGAGGAGGACACATGGTGCAGTTGGCTGAACCAGGACCCCGACACTCCAGACAGGAGACGTCACACTCTTCACACGCGTGGCCTGAACCCTGACGAGGGGTAGGAGAGAGGACATCACAGCCAGACACACAGCTACAGCAGGAATTCTACATCAAAGCTTCAAAGAAAACTTTCATTACCAAAAGGGCTGAATATAACTAATGCACTGCCTTTCAGCTTAACCAATTAATATGCATCTACCTGCCAGACACTTTCAGTCAGTAGCCTCACAGCATGAGCCAGGAGATTTATTTTGAATCATGACACAGTCATAATTTTCACTCTGCTGTTTGAAATTTCTCGCGGTGCAGTAATAAGTCAGCCTGAATTGCATTATTTGACACCCGGGGCCAAAACATTAGTTAATGATTATTTTTGGTGGAGCAAGGACAGGCTTAGGTTTTTTTTTTTTTCTTTAATGAAAAGTTAATATTTGTGAAATTAAAACTTAATTTAAATATTGCATGGTTACCTTTATAACAGGATACTGGCCTACATCGCACATGGACTCACACATGCCGTCAGAGAGCAGAAATCCAGGGGAGCATGAGACGCAGGATCGAGAATCTTTTCCTGCAGATACAAGACAACTCAAAGGGTAAGTCTGGAAATCACCTGCTCTGTATATTAATGTTCATACATTCCAAAAAATTGTTGTTCCAGGTCATAAATGCACCATGCTGTCCAACCTTCAGGAGGTTTGTAAATGATTCCCCTCTAGAATTAATTATCCATCAAAAAGTATCCCACATCCATCAGGCGTCAGGAAAAGTGTTTTCTGTGTTGTCAAAGTGGGATATTGATTGTGTTTAAATGTTCCGACACTATACTGAACATTGGCACTTGGATGTATTTGATAACTCCGTCCAGCAGCTGAACAAATTAACTGGAACTTAATCCAGGACTGAAAATGGTCCCAAGCAAATACAAATTTCTGCTTTGGTAATGTGTTTACATCTACATTTCCAAGTTCTTTAAGTTCTTAGCGACGTAAAATAAATAAAAGGAATGTTCTTCGTCATGAGTTCTTGATTTCACATCAAATAATTTATTGACACTAGCAAGATTAAGAAATATTGACAGACTTGTTATGAAACTTTGGATTAAATAAAAGTTAAAGTGTTCACATTATTCATTCATGAATGGTAAAATAAAAGCTCCTTTGTTGGGTCTGCAGTATTCCGCATGAACCTGTACTGTTCAGTCTGTAAGATTAATGCAGCCGATACACAGCAGAGTCCGAGCAGTTCAGCGCTTTCACATCTGCAGTCCGTGGAGACAACAGAAGCATCAATATCTCATCACCTACAACGGTGTGTGTGTTGGTGTGTGTGTGTGTGTGTGTATTCCCACAATATTAAATTAGTGCTGAGTGGACGCTCCTACCTGAACACGCTCTGCAGCTGGTGTGGCAGTGCGCGCAGGTCCTGTGCACGGCGTCGTGGTAGTATCCCAGAGGGCACGAGGGGAGGCAGCGGCCTTCTTTCCGCAAGTAGATGAGACCCAGAGCGCAGCTCAGGCAGCTGTCCTCCCCGCCTCCGATACACTCACCACAGCTCGGGTCACACTTCTCACATATCCCCGAGTCCGTGTTTCCATAGTGACTGGTGGGAAAGTTATGATGGATACGATTGAATTAAAGAAGATGAGAGCTTTGTTTGTCCTCAAAGGAAATTCTTCTCCGCTGCCACTCAGTCACAAGCAGCTGTAATCATCTCAAACTACAATGACACGGGGAAAACAGCCACAACAAAACACTTGAAGGCTCTACTGAGGGAGGACATGACATAGACTCTGGATATTAAAGTCAAAGTGATATTTTCTTCTTTTTTTTTATAGTAATACTCGATGCAGGCCTAAAAAAACAAGCATATTAAGGGTTGCAGGTCCAACAATTAAAATTCTTTGTGTCCCTTTTTGAATATTTAACTGCACATCAATTTAACAGGACATTAATTTAACTCTCACAATCACTGCTTCCCCTAATAAAATCAAGTCTAATTAGCATTTTACAGGCTGCATGCGTGGCTATTTAAATCTCAGGCTAAATTAGCTTGATCTCCAAATTGCACCCCTGTCCAGTTAACTAAAGGAAAGCAATGGTTTGGTGTCCACCCTGACATTATGGGACTGAGCCCATCTTTTATTAATGACAACACTGTGTGACCACATTGAATGTGATAGATGAGCAGCACAGCTGGGCAGTGAGCAGGGTAAACTACCTGTGCTGGCAGGTCTCCACACACTCTTTGCCCTCTCTGAATAGGTGGCTTTTACAGGCGAGGCACTCGTTGCTGTTTTCCCCAACACACGTCTGACAGGAAGCGTGACAAGGTTCACATTTCTGGCCCAGCTTGTCCTCATAGTAGCCGGTGGGGCACGCATCCACACAGGTGCCATCTGTAGCGACAAACACACATGGAGATCACACAACCACACAAACAAACAAACAAGTCACAGATGCTTGGAGAGTTTGGAGATTATCACGAGGCCTTCAAACCCGACTCACTGAGCAGGAGATGTCTCTGGGTGCAGCTCAGGCAGTGAGTTTTGCCCGGACCTGAGCACCTGTGGCAATATTTGTGACACGGATGGCAGTCCCCGTGCTGGTCTGCGTACTCGTGAGTTGAGCATTTGTTGGCTAATGGCACACAATGGCTGTGGCCCTCGAGCCTGTGGTCGTCTCTGCAGCTGGTGCAGGAGACGGAGTGGGGACCGGAGCAGGTGAGGCAGGATGCATCACATCCTGGAAGTAGAAAAAGTTCACTGAATCATATTAAGGATATAATCACACTTGGAGTGAAACGCATAATCGGAGGAACAAAATCTATCAGTCTTGACTTTTTATTTGTCTGATAATCGCACCCAAATCTCTGGAACACACTTTCTGTAAATGCCAGGAAGCCAGCTCGCTTAAAAACAATAATTTAAGCATTCACTCTACTTTAACTTTGAACTTAACGTTCCATGCATTTATTTGATTGTTTAAAATAAACCCTCATGTTTTTATCTGATTTTACACAACAACATGTATTTCTTTACATTTGACAGAAATCTGGTATTACTTTCTAACTTGTAATTGTGGCACTCGTTCCTTGATTTCGTGTTCATTGGGTCTTTCATCATGTGCATTTAGGATTCTTACTGTAATGCACTCTGAGTATCACTTTGTGTATGTAAGCCGCTTTACAAGAACACCCTTTTCCAGATGTTGTGTAGTTTTTAATCAAACTTGTTTGGCCTTTTTCACTTTATAAAACTGTGAAGGTGAAGCTGAGAAAGAGGAGGAAATGAAATTATGCAAAAGAAGGGGGTTAGAATGGAAACCAGCCCTTCAGCCGGGACTCAGACTCTGTACATGGTGTGCATGCATGTATGTGAATAATTCATTCATTTTTATGTAGTCAGACAATTAACTTATTTGTTTCCTCCTATTATGTCCTTTTCGTGTTTGTACAAACAACTTCTGTCTATCCTGTGTTGAGTTCAGATGAAAATAAACAAAATCCCCCCTCTGTCCATTTTGCAGTACACCACTGTACTTCCTTTCAGATATCTTACTGCTGGCAGCTCCTGTATGTAGCAATAAAAGTGGGCATCGCCTACAATGTTTTCCTGGGAGAAACAGGCATCCTTTGTGATTTTTGAATCACAAAAAAAAAAAAAAATGGAGCAGTGTGTTTTTCCTCTAGGGAACCGTCTTTGGCATCGCTGCTCTGTTTTTCAAGGTTTGACAGCTGCCTGTTAACCGTCTGAAAAGCGTTGCTATTTTAGTCAGAGCCAAAGTCAGGAAACACACTCAGGCAGAGGAGAGGAATATAATTGAGGAAAAGCATTGAGGGCGTTCTACAGGACAAAAGTGTTGCATAAGAGAGGAGAAAACAAAGTTTGTGGAGAAGTGGAGCATCTTTTACTTTGTCTTAACCGAAAAGCAAGACTTCTGAAAGTACAATAAAAAGTAAATCATATAATATTCATTATTCAAATGGGGTTTGAGTTACTTTTGATCAGAAAAACTGCATTTTTCTGCTCTTATTAAGCCCGCACTAGCAGAGCTGGGCACACCTCCTTTAATCCTTGAATTGTTATTTATCAGCGTTAATTTCAGATGCTTTTATTGTGAAATGCTGCTTGACCTACTGTACATGAAGGAACGTCTGGAGCGCTCTTGGAGTGATTATTTGTAGATTTTCAGTAAAGACACGTGTGTATTTTGACTTTAAGCCGTCATGACCTCTTAAGAACTCAAATCTAATGACATTAGAAAAAGCTGATGTTTTTCTTCTTCTGAATAATACCGATTAACGCTAATGTAAACTTCAGTTTACTGATTAACTGCTATCAAAGTTATCAGCTTTGCTAACGGATTAACATGAACAAAGATAAATTTTTAATAACTGTTCCCACCTCTGTATAACAGATAAGATTTAAAACAGGCAGACAAGCTGTTGCGGATGTTTCCTGTGTTACCTCTACATTCTGCTGTTACAGTGTCTCGATAGGTGTGGGCGGGGCAAGAGGGCAGACACGCCCCGTTGTACAGAGTCACCTCCGGGTCCACACAGTCATCACAGTCGTTGCTGTTGGGGCCGTCACACAAAGCGCAGTCGGGATGGCAACGCAAACACTCCCCTCGCTCTTTGTCCTCGAAGAACCTCTCGGGACAGTCGAGGACACACAGGCCCTCGTGGAGGAAGTGATACTCCTCGCAGCCTGAAGAAAGAACAGCCTTTAGCACATAAACCAATAAGGACATATGGTGGCCCTGAGGTAAAAAATAAATAAAACAGCACAGCAGAATAAACAAAATCAACAAAACAGTTTTGAAAAGTGTTTCTGTTTGTTGGGGTAGGAATGATTTTGTGTTTATTTTAAGAAGAGTTTTTGGATTTTGTGAATTTTGCTGTTTAATGGGAAAATAAGCTTTTCATCAAAATATTGTGTTTTTAGAGTCAGAGTCAGAATCAGCTTTTATTGGCCAGCTATGTGTATACACACAATGACTCTGAGTCTGGTTAGCTTTGCTCTCTCTCTATTCACAGCACTAAATATTAATTATTTAACTCATATACACAAGTCTTCATTAGACAACAGTGCAGTGGTGAGGGGTGCAGAAGATACTGGATCATTTTCTGCAATGTTGTTCAAGGTCACCATAGACCTCAGTGGAACTACAGGAACCACTTCAAGGACGTGTAAACGAGAAGTTCTCCTCCTGACAGGACATACATGGAACAGAACTGAGACAGCTGAGACAACTGATGTGTTTTCACATAAGTGCACTCTCTTGTGCACAGGAGTTGGAACATTTCTGACATCATCATCATTTTCATGTTGGGGAAAAAAAGACCTCAATGAGCCCAAAGCATGCAAACTTACAGTATTACAAATTAAACACACGTATGTGCAGTATGTTACTTTGCAGATATTTGGTTTTATTTCAAAGAACTCGGAAAGTCTGGGAAAGTCAAAATCGACTAAAATGTGTTCATGGGCAGTTTGTCAGTAAAGGAATTTCATGACAATTCAACAAATAATGTTTATGATACACAACAATAACCAACATTTTAGCAAGTGAATTTGCTGTTATTCAAGTAAAAAATATTTAATTACACTTTCAGAAAAAAACATCTTATTTAAGATATGAAACACACAAAAAAAAAAGCCTGCTGATCAAAATGTAATTGTATGTCTCTTGAAATAAGATGAAAATCTAATTTCAACTAATGTTGATATTTCAGTGTGTATGGCTTCATTTCTTTCAAACAGGGCTTTGAGCCTCCTACTCTCACTCTCTCCCTCATGTCAGCACTAATCCAGGTATCAGCTGGTGGTTGTATGTGTCAACAATCAGTAGCTTAACGTCGGTAATGTTATCATACTGTCTGCTGTACCTGTGCACTGTCCGAGCGGGTTGCACTCCTCACAGGCGGAGGGGCAGTGATGACACTCCCCGTCCCGGATGGTGTGCGCTGGAGGACACTCATCCACACACTGGTGCTTGTGGAGGAGGAGGGGTTCTTCACAGCCGAGGCAGTGGGTGGCGTTCTTCTCACAGGACGCACAGCCTGCCGCACAGCTATGACAAACTTGACCCGCAGGGTAACCCCTGAGGGACACACACGCACAGACACAAGACAGCGCACTGCAGTTAATATGCATGCGTACTTAATCCTTGCCCTCTTGCCTTAAGGTCTAGTCTAATTGCCTTAATTGAAAATGTCATCTATTTTACACGACTTGTGATGCAATTAGACTCTTAACAAAAAACAATTTTCATTATAATTTATATTTAGTTTGACTAGATGTTTATTTTTTTACTTTGTGATAAAATCACATATGCTCTCACGGTTTTGGGAAGTGCTGCGGGGGTAAACAAGCGGCCTGGCATTTTGCTCTACTCTCTGCTTCGGTCTACAGAGGACAGCCGACAATTTATCCAGACAATCATGTCGTACTTAAGTATTGTTACAAAAAAGCTGCTTGATAGTTGATAGTGAAAAAAAATAAAATAATAATGCACTCATGGCCAAAAACGTTACAATGGTCATCTCGGGGCTAATGGAGCTTCAAGGATTGGAGCTTCAAGGATATTTTGTCAATCTCAAGGGATGCCACAATTTAATGCCACATAAACATCAGGTAGGACACTTAAAATGACGGCCAGCAGATACATCTCAAATCTATTTATTTCGGGATAGCCAGAGTTCATACCAAATCACCTGACTGGATGATCAAAAGATGTGATTTTAACATTTTATGCCAGCAGGGTTAAATTCTCACCGTAAAAAAATTCTCAGATTTAAAAATAAGATAAAAAACAAACCAAAGCGTCAGGATTGACCTCTGACCTGACACACTGCTGGACACACTGTCCATCCTGCAGAAATAGCTGAGCTTTCCGTGTGCTCTGACAGCGGCTGCAGTGTTGAGAGTCCACACACAGCACACAGCCTTCAGGGCATGCCTCACACACACTGCTCAGCCGCCTGGCAAAGAACCCCCCTGGGCACTTTGACACACATGTTTGCTGTGTGGTCAGAAACTGCCCTGGAGGAGTAAGAAAGAGTAAACATTAACACCGCAAAAGGGCTGGATATGCTTTAGCGTAACCTAGAACATTTGAAACTGATGTTGCAGGTCTAACAGCAGATAAACATCTTAATCTTTCTGCGATCTTAATACCTTTTGAACATCTTGTACACTGGTTCTTCTCCTGTCCAGAGCAGGACTCACAGGTTGGGTGACAGTCCTCACACTCTCCATCTTATGGAGGTTAAACACCACAGTGAAAATAATAAGGGAGACATGCTTCTTATAACAGAAAAACAATTGAAAAGTGCCTTGCCCTAATCCAGGACTTAGTAGGAATCAACATACTGGCTGGCAGATGACAATATTCCATGTCGGATACAAGTACACCTTACTATTATAGTATAAAAAGTAGGAATAAAAGGTTGACTATTTTTTCGCTATCTCTAATAGTCTAATGAATATAAGTGGTTTGAAAAATGAAAAACATGCTTTACAAATAATTTATTGCTTACATATATTTTAAATGACAAGTTGTTATTTGTGATGTGAAAATAATTAGTTTGAGTGCAGATATTTGAGTCATGCTAGCTGTTTCCCTCCTCTTTTTGCTAGACTAAGCTAATCGCCTCTTGGACGTAGCTTCATATTTAGCATGCAGACATTATTTAAATCTATCCTCTGACTCTCAGTAGAAAAGCAAATAAGGTTGCCGAAAAATGTCAGAAGCCTAAGTGTCAGACAGCTACAGCAAGCAGACAACAAGCTAAGCTACAGATAAACTCTAGAAAGTGGAGAAAACCTCTAGGTTAAGACATTTTCCCACGTCTACCGAGAAAACCACCAAATTTGTGAAATTTTATTTGTAAAAAATAAATTTTTATTTGTAAAAAATAAAATTAGCTTATAACTATACATAAGAGCTGCTGGTAGGATGGCTGCTCCCAACTGAAACATGTTCTTGCTAAGCTAAGCTAATTAGCTGTTTGCTAGAACAGGCAAATGTCATGAAATACTCATCTCAACAAGAAAGGGTATTTTCTCTTTAAACTTCTTCCAGAACAGCATTTGAAAATAAGAGAACACCTAAGATTAGTATTTGAGCCAACCCTTTACAATCTAACTGAACAGTAAATTGCACAGAGGCTTAAATCTAAGGTTTTTCTAGTTTCTTTTATTCAAAGTTTAAGAATAACTTCTGTATCTTCATTTCCAACCTTTGTGTTAACCTTTGTACTTTTCTCTGGCTTATTTTAGTTCCTATAATTAAGATGTCTTGCCTCACTCTAATTACCATATGTTGTCTCAAGGTCTGTCCAACTAATTCTTAGGGGGAACTAAATGTTCAGCATATACAATCAATTATTTCAAAGTCTGTATCTGGCTGACGTTCAGTAGTTCTGTCTGTTTTGAGTACTTAAGTTGGTACAGGGTTCAGGGACAGTGGCACACAGACCAATTACCCTGCAAGATTTCTTTTCCACCCCTGTGAAAGTGCCCAAATCCCTGATTCATTATGGGCCGACAGATGGATTAGTGGAATATTTAAGAATTAGCCTCACCGCTCCGAAAGGTCTTACTGGGACAGACCTCGCGTTCGGACACACACTCTCCGTTTTCCAGAGTCTTCCCCTCCTCACAAGACAGACAGTCGCCGTCCTCCGGGCCGCTGCATGTCACGCAGTCTGAGTGACACTCCTCACAGTCATTGGTGTCTTCGTCGCCGTAGAAACCATCAGGACACACTGAAACACACCTCCCCTCTGGGAAGAAACAGAAGGTTTCCTCGTTATCTAATGATAATCTATGTTTTATGGAAACCACTTAGCAATACCTTTTTCTTTATTTAGAGGGGAACTCCAGTGACTCGACACATTAAATTATAACAGAATATGTGAAACGGTTAGATAATACTGTTTCTGACATCAGAATAAGCTGTATGAAGAAAAGAATTGAAGAAGACTGCACTTTATGTCTATTTGAGGCCAACAGCTTGAGGCTACACCACCGTCTGCTAGTAAAGCAAACACTCTGACCCATGTGTCTGCAGTCAAGTTGCATTGTGGGTCACATGTAGGCACCAGGCAACACTGAAAAACATGTTAAGATCACCCTTTTTCTGCTCTTTCAATTCTGATCAACTCAACTACATTTCATAGAGAAATCTTGTACTTTTTTTTTCTACTTCTCTGACAGCTGTAGTCAAGATTATTTGACTGCCCGTGGAGCCCAGACATCCACATGCCCCTAAAAACATCATCATGATTTAACTTCAACAACCTCACACTTTTGTTTGGCTATAGTAACTGAGGCACTTATAGTTACACCTGCATTTAAAAAGAGCTGCTCTGCCTTATAATCTGGTTTTTTATAGCTTTAAAAGACACCTTTATAAATCATCAAAAAACGGATCTAACTTGGTGGGGACTCTTTTGGGAAGCACATTTTGTCACTGATCACTCTGGAAGGCTAATATTTGTAACACAATGTGTACGGTTGGATTGTGTTATACTTTTACTGACATCACATGAACGAGTATGCACAGAAATCAAAATGAGCTTCATCTGCTGAAGCATTGAAATGCAAGTCACACAATAAACATCAGTTCTAATAAAATATGGTTTCGATATTAACACAGTATGCAGTGAGCCTTTTATACTTTTGGATCAATGTTGATGATTACTCTGCAGTCATGCCAAGGTTTTCGAGCCATATTTTGATACTACACACTTATTACGCTACGTTTTGGAGGGATCATTTCTACTTAAATCAAACAAATTTCACTGGAAGCTGTAGATTTATTTTGACTCAAGACTTTCATAATAAAACATTTTAAATACATGATGCATGTTTTACATTTCACCATCCAAATGCATATATGCAGTTATTATTAGCTCCACCTAAACAACTACAACAATAAACTGTCATACTTTTTTCTCACCTTCAGTGCAGTTTACCTTACGTGTATATTATGACATTTTCAATAAATGACTACACATTGGGAATGGAGTAGTTTTAAACAGCAGTATTAATCCTTTAACTCAAAAACAGTATTTGAAAACTTATTCCAGCACTGTGCAAACTCTCCCTAACTTCTTGCCTTGACCAGGTGGGGCAGTTTTACCTGATAAGAAGAGGTCGGTCTCACACCAGTAGCACTCGTGTTCATCACAGCTCACACAGTTCTCGTCACATGGAACACAGATCATCTCCTCTTCCACGCTGTACGTCTTGGCCGGGCAGTTTCTGTAGCAGCCATCCTGAAAGCTGATAACAAAGGCTGCAGTCTATACCTACCCTTTTTTTTTTTCCCCTCTCATGCACATAAATCCACTCTCACAGCAAAAAAAAAAAAAGGGCCCTTTTTCTTTCTGGCATAGCACTGAACTGAAAGGAAACAAGGTGTGATCACACATGGCGACAGCGCTGCACACAGCCTTACTTGTAAAAGCCCTCAGTGCAGGACAAGCAATGCCTGGGGTTATCTGTTGGAAGCAGACAAAAAGCTCAGCTCTCCCTTTTTACACAGGGACTACCAGGAACAACTGTTGGAACTGGTTGGAAACACACTGGGTGGATGGCTCTGGCTTCTGTGAGAAGCTTTCATGTTGGCTACCCAGCTTTGACTTACACAGGACACACTTCTTGCAGCCCTCCTCACACGCCATGCAGTCGTCATAATCTGGATCCTCCACCTCCCCTTTAAAAAAAAAGAAAAAAAGAAAAGAGACAAAGAAAAGAAGATGAAAAACAAGGTGAGAGAGAGCAGTGGACAGTTGTAAGAATGCTCTTCAGGGTCATCCTTTCTTATCAGAAATTAGAAGAATAAAAGCTCATAAATAACGCTGTGACCTTGTTTACCTTCTCCACACTCCAGCTTGGCGCACACTCCATCAGAGACGTAGAAGGAGGAGTTACACTTGAGGCAGCGGTCTGGGCTCGTGCAGAGGCGACAGTGGTCTGAGCACGGCTCACAGCTCTTCTCCTGCGTGTGGTAGAAGGCCTCCGGACAGGCGTCTACACAAAGGCCTTTATACAGGTAACGCTCCAATCTAAACTTATCTGGAGGAAAGAGCAGCGAATCACGGTGTGAGGAAGTGTGACATTGAACTTCAGCTGAACCTTTGCCTGAACAGCTCCCTAGCGTTGGATGTCGTAGTTTTTCCTGGCCTGTTTAATCTGGGTTTTATGTTCTAGGTCTAAAGGGCACAAGGTAAAGCACACAATATGAAGCTTTTCAGTTTGCTAGAAAAATACCAAACAATTTGGAAAATCTTCTTTTTAAAATTAGTTTCATTTTTCAAATATTCGGTTTGAGTTCAAATGCATCAACTGATCGTTTGTAAAGGGAAAAGATTACACTCTGCATTTCTCTGACCTTCACTCAGCATAGTAGATAATATTGGCACCTTTCTATGACCTACAAAAACAAACTACATCATCAGCTAGCTACAATTTCCAGTATTTATATTTTGTTATTTTGAATGCCTGAATCTTCAGCCAAAGGGTAGGTGTATCAGATAACAAACAACCTTTGTTTTACATTATCCACAAGTAAGATGCTCGATGAGGGGTTAATTTGAGTGTTAAAAAAAAGTAGGATGAGACTTTTAAAAAAAATAGAAAAAGAATAGAAAAAGAAACAATACTGACAACACATGTATAGGTCGACATTAGTACAGACATCTGTTTGTTAACCAGTTCATCATATCCACTTCATAGTCAGTCATATGTTTGTGTTGTGTTTTCATGTGGTTAAAGAACCTTCAATAAGGTTTCTGAAGTTTCTGTAGATTTTTACTCAGGGCCTGATTCATTGGCTTTTGCGACCGTTAAACCTGTGCATACAAATTCAAAAAGACACCGTCAAACTTTGAAAACACAGACGGGGGGGTTAAACGCACGAATTGCGATGGTGTTTTTGATGTAAACACTTTTTTGTTGCTTAGTCATACAGAAAGGAGAAAGTTTTTCCCTAAATGGCGTCATTAAAAATGAGCCATTATGTCGGCTAAAAGCCACACAGAGTTAGAGTAGAGTGGAGCAAAAAAAAAGGTTTGCTGAGACCAGGTGGCAACTGCGCTGCAGTATTCATAAAAGATGTCACACACAAACATTCTGCGTCTGCATGACTTAAAGTCTGAAAGTATCACTTTGACATTACTGTTATTGAAATGAAGTTAAATCAGTCTCCGCCTGTCAGCAGCTCGCCACAAGGATGAAAGTTGTTTTTTTCCTGAGTTGCCTTCACATGCTCTGTTTAGAAAGGAAGCTTTGTTTATCACGGTGAAACTTATTTTACAATTCTGAGGTCTGGCATCAAAAGTTTCCCCTCCCCTCCTGGCTCACCATCCTTATGTGGACAAAGCAGCTCCGTCAGTGTGAGAGCTCATCTTTGTGCAGAGGTGCAGGCGGCTTTTCTCCAAATTCAAACGCTAAACAACAGCAAACTCTACCTTTGTGTTTGCACCTGAATACCATGAGTGCTATATGCTTTGTGACTTGGACCTTGAGACAGCGTAGATAGTGGGAGCTAATTGGAGCTATAAGCGGCTGCAATCCACTCTTAATGAATCGGGCCCTTAGTGTTGGTTGCACCTGTTAAAATGAAAAACTGCTCATTTGAACCACCACTAGGGGTAGCTGGTGTTGGAAATATTAAATCCTGTGAAGTGTGAAGAAGGTTGCTTTATCTTGTTTCCTAAAGTAGCAAAAGATGAACACGTCATTCAGACAGCCAGACAGACAGACAGACAGACAGACAGACAGACAGATTGTTAAGTCCTCACCGGTGTCACAGCTGGTACAGTTGGCTGGCCCCGCCTCCACACAGGTGGCACAGGTGTGGTCACACAGGTGACATTGGCCACCTGACAAGTATTTGCCCTTTTCACATTCCAGCAGGCAGCGGCCTTCATCTAAAGCCCTGCAGCCGACAACAACATCACAAACAACCCTTTTTTTTTTTTTTCAGCTGCAACTCCACAAAATCAACAGATATGAATTATTTCTATGCTAATGAGCCGAACTCGTTTACGTCCCAGCGTGGAACATATGGCAAAGTTAAACAGATGACGCTGAGCATGTTGACACAGGGAGGAGGAGGAGGAGGAGGAGAGAGGGCTGTGGCTGGCTGGTTAAGCTGGCAGGCCATATGGGAATTCTATTTAGATGCATATACATCTATATACAGAGAGAGAGAGAGAGAGAGAGAGAGAGAGAGAGAGAGAGAGAGAGAGAGAAGGTATGTATGCATGCAGGTATATATTTGTATATATCAGAATGGGGGGGGGGATTGGCCAGGTGGTCTAGCGGTTAGGTCGAGCCTGTATACGGAGCGGCCTGGGCTTGAATCCGACCCGGCTTCCTCGCTGAACACTTCACCCTGAACTTACTCTATATGTTAATTAAGTTGAGACCTTCAACATGTTAAAAGCAAAGAATACCCCGGCTTTAAGGACACACAGAGTTCACTTTCATTTACATCCAACACTTCCACATCCTACCTAACTTTAAACCACATGCAAGTTTTTTTTTAAACTCGGAGATGTTTTTTTAGACTTTGATGTATTTATTTCCCCCCTCGGACCTTGTATCTAAAAGGTCAACACCATCTCACCGTGAAGCAGCACAGCTGATGCAGTCTTCCCTCCGTGGCCCTGTGCACTTTAGACACGTTGCATCACACGCATGGCACTCCCCGTCAGCGTCTTGGTACTCTCCTGATAGACACGCAGCAAGAACACGATGCTGACTGAGAAATAAATAACCGTCTAAGGCGTAGAGGTGGGTTTAACGATGACTCAGACTGTAGATAACACACATCAATTTCCAAATATACACATAAAACAGCCCTTATGCTTTCATTAGACACCAGCAGATGTTACGCATCAGCTCGGTTCAGCAAAATAATTGTATTTTGTAAGTCAAAGGATCAAAGGAGAAAGAACTACATGTGTTAAAAATGAATTCTATTTATTTGGCAGAAGTGAGCCAACATGTAATGGAGGAAGAGGATGGTTGACTGACCGTCTGTGCACTCAGTGTTAACAACACACACTCCCTCCTGCAGGCTGTGACCGCTGGAACAGCTGCTGCAGTTCCCCCGGCTCGGCCCCTCACAGGTGAGACAGCTGGCGTCACACCTGAGGAGGAGGGCACGCAGACTGAGTGCACACACTCATGCATGCTGACCACAAATAACACATACACACAGGGAAAACTACTACAAACACAAGCATGAAGAGGAGCACAAACACACACACGTACAGAAGGCAAACAGCAGAATGAGTCCTGCTATCAGCAGATAAACAAACCACCCACACCTGAACACACACCAGTGAGCTCACCTCCTACATGTCCTGTGCCCATCAGCTATCGCTGGGTTCTGCTCGGTGGCAAAGAAACCAGCGCTGCAGGAGGACACACACCTCCACTCCTCCATCAGGTAGCCCTCTGCACAACGGTCGCACGCTTTTACACCAGCGCCTGAAAGGAGTATGGTTTTATGAGAACAAAAGACATAAAAAGTCCTGCTTCATGTCATGTTTTTCAACTGACACTTGAAGTTTTCATGAATTTCAAGGCTTTTGAATTTGCTCTCACCTGCACAGGTAGCACAGGCCTTGTGACAAGGTTTGCATGTGCCTTCCTGTCTGTCGTTGTAAAATCCGACTGCGCAGCTCAGCTGGCACCGATTCCCCTGCAGACTGGAGAGAGGGCGGAGAGAGCATGTGGCACCATGACACAGACACACACAAACACACACACACACACAGCCGCAATCACATGACACCGTCATTATGAGTCACTGCAAACGCAAGTTTCCAACCCACAACACACCACCACAAGTACTTGTTGAACTGAGTCAGTGAACTCCGGAAACTTCTAACTCAACAATATGGTAAATGTTTCTATTTAAACTGCCGTCAGAAAGGGAAGTTAAACACACTTTCTTTGAGTTAAACATCTAGTGCTAATATTGCTGTGGAGGATAGAAGCTCAAAGAATCAGTAGTCAGAGCGAGAATAGGAGCAGTGTTTACCGAGCAGTTAATTCAAGCATCATCTGAGAGTTTGTTTCACCTTGTGTCTGGTTTGCATTCTGTGCAGATGCTGTACGAGGTGCACTTCAAGCAGTTTTCGCTGCACTTTCTGCACATATTTGCATCTGTGGGGAAATCAAACAATAAACACTGAATACACATCAGAGCGATTAATCAATCTTACTCACACAGCCCTCAACTGCAGTTACATCAACTGACTATTCATTAGCAGACTCATGTGCAGCTGTTTTCAAACAGTGAGCCATGAATACCTAAAGGTTCAGTCGCCGGCTTTGTAAGGTAAACATGCAAAGAATGTGACAAAAAAACAATCCATAAAGAGAGATTTGAGGCTGTTGCCATGAAACTCATGATGACACTGATAACCTCCTTTATTTTTCAAAGTGATACGGAAACATCAAACAGCCAGTCACGCTGCAGAAATAGCCACAGCAACAGTTCAGTAAGACACCTCTGTATAGTTTAATATATTTATTGCAGCAGAACAGTTCTTATTTAAATGCAGAGATTTGAGGAGTGATGGGAATATATCTCAAACACCCAGTGGGAGCCCACAGGTGGATGCTGGTGGTGGTGACTGAGTAAGAGTGCAGTACTGGTGCAGGTCAGAGCTCATATGAGAATGAGGCATGTCAAATGTGATATCAGTGAAGCTCATGTTGACTGCCTGTACTTGCTGCAGGAGGCGTCACCTCATTGATTTGTATGCTGTTATTTTACCTGTACCTAAAGTATACAGCAGATTACACACTCACTTCAAAAAGCAAACCTTTTTAAAGCTGTAAAGAATGTTTGTTTCTTGTGTTAAAGATAAAACTGAGGGTCAAAAGGTGACGTAAAAATGTGGAAATAGTTAGAAAAACAAGTAAACATGCTGCTGGTAGCAGCTAACCAGAGGTCCTGAGTGTACTTGGTTGTAAGGAAACTGATTTAGAGCGAAACCTGCTTTATTTTCTGGTTTAAATGAATTGGACAGTTTGTTATTTAGACAACTGACTTCCATTAGGGCATTTATAAATGTAAAATATGTAAAACTGGATTCTAAAGCTAAAGCTAAAATCACAGAAACATGCTTAGCTTACATCGCAGCAGTGGAGGGACACTAAAGACACTTTAAATAGTTATTTGTTCAGGGGTTTAAAAGGTTTGAATCACTCTACATTTAAAAAGGAAAGAGCCTTAAAAATATGTTAAGCGCATGTTATTTTAAAACCAATGCACCCCCTGGTTTCTTTAGGCTCCCTTCAGTTTCAGGCTTGCCAGTTTGAGGAGAAGTGAAATATCATGCCACATATTGCTAATAATCAAAATGAATAACGTTATCGTGACAACTTTCTCTGCCACACTGCCCAGCTCGTTGGTGAAGCCCTGAAAAACTAACCGTGGTCCAGGTAGTAGTTGTCCCCACAGATGGCCGTGCAGGTGTTGGTCCCCTCTGTCAGGTGGTGACCGGCCTGACAGGACATGCACTGATCACTGCGACTCCCAGTGCAGCTCTCACAGGAGGAGAAGCACCTCTTACAACGCCGCCGGTCGCCCCAGAATCCCCTGGGACACTCAGACACGCACATCCTATTACACAGACACGGACCACAGCACACAGAGGACAAGAGGTGTTACTCTCTAAATGAGGGGGAGTAGAGGACGTGACATTCTGGGTTCACTTGGACCTATTCTTTGTTTGTCCTATTGCACATTTTATCAAAACATGAGCTTTAGAACAGTTGATTTTAACCTTCTAATATATATATATAAATACATGTCATATGTTCTGAAGAAACCATTTAAACACATTGTACACTTAATTCTGGATGCTCTAGCTGTACTCTCTGTAAACATGCTAACCTTGTGTTGTTCTTGAACTTTAGAAAAAAGTGTAAACACGTGACACACTGCTGCGGGCTCGGCCCCTCACAGCCGTCGTCACTGCATTCTGGGTCGCAGGGTCCTGGAAGGGCAAACACTCACATGGTCACTGCACCATCACAGAGCTTTTGTTCAGATTGATGATATCGCTCCATATGTACACCAAAAGACTCCTCCTGAACTGACATCTGCTGTAAATCTGCATTAGAGTGCATTTAGCTGCAGCGTGAGAGGTCTGAGATTGAAGAAGGGGCAGCTTAATACCAGCTGAGCTCATGACTCACCGCTGTACTCCTCGGTGAGGTCACTATCCGTCGGCATCTCAGCCGATCTGGCTCGCTCACGATGCATGGGATACGGATGCTCTGCGGTGCCATAAATCACCAGCGACCACTCCTTTAACGTCCCTGTGAAACACCAGAGAACCAGAAAGAGATCAGGATAACAGGACAGTCCCTGGAGGCCTGCACTGTATCCTCATGCTGTCATAGATGAACTTAAATGTGTGTTTCATAAAAGTAACTGTCACAAAGAAGAAGGGCAGACCCAGTTCAGTGCTTTGTCTCTTCTGAGAGGGAGTATCCTGGATTTTCAGAGTCCACTCCCCTGCCGCCTGCTCCCCCCAGCAGTGACTCGTCATGAACGCCCAGTTCTGAAATCCCTCAATGGAGTCATCAAGAGGTCTAAACGGAAACATAACCACACTGTGATTCTGCTGTGACTAATACTAAAGCTAACTGTAATAAAACTGAATGTTTTCTCAAGGGTTAAACAGAGGTGGAGGAAGTATTGAGATGCCTTTTTTAAGCAACATTTACAGCTCAAAGTTGGAAAAATACTCCTCTACAAGTTCTGCCTTCAAAGTTTTCCTTGTGTAAAGGTGGAGCTCTATTATCAGTACAATCTACTTATTTGTACTTGAGTTCCATAGTCAAGTTCTTCCAGTATCATGAGCAGTCATTATTGTAAGTCCACTCTTGTCCATTTGGAGGCAGCATATCAAGACGTAAACACAACATTGATATATTAGCATTTCAGAAAGGTGATACAATGATCATTAGAGGAAACAACGTCTAGTTTACCCATACAAAAGATAAACAGCTAGATAGTAATTCATTTTAAGAAACCTGTCGGTCTATAACATGAATGTCAGTTCCAGTTTTCGCTCAGATTTCTACTTTATTTTGCTGTTCAGAAGCTCTTATCTGCGGAAACATCTGCATCGTAAGCTGCTGCTTGCTCAGCTGCGTTGACCAGCTACAAGCTAACTGTTTCTGTCTGCTGTTAGATGCTGAGCAGGAAGCGCAAATCTGTTTAAGATTAGCTCTTCTCCTATAAAGTAGCTTCTTGCTGTGGCTGAAAACTAAAATATTAAAGTAGCTAGAGTAAACAATAAGAAAAAAATGTACCAAAACAATAAGCTGAAAGACACCAAAATGCAGCAATTAACTAAGTTTAATTAAAGACAATACATTAAATGAGAAGGTTTGTCCCCATGATGGCAGTCTTTCACTTTATTTAAAATAAATATTGAAAAGCAACTATAATTTGAATACTAAGAAAATGTGTGCAGTTACTTTTCTACTGATGTGCAATAAATCGCAGCGTCATCAGAATTTTGAGTTTCTCTCGAAGCTAACACGTGCTGTATTTTATCATTGCAGAGTTAGCTGAAAGTTACACTGAGTGTAGCAGAAAGTCATTTTGCCAGAAAACTTGCCCAGATAGCACTTCCCTTATTCCCTGTGATTTTTATAGCACAGTTTGCCAAAATGCACCTTTTCCCCGAACGACACAAAGAGCCAAACAGAAAAATGTAACTCTGTTGGACAAAATGCTGTGCTCTGAATAAAAGTGATTTCTGTATGCAGAAAATGTTGTGAACCCTCAATGGGGATTTTAGTTTCCACACATTCTGTCTGTGATTTGACACGTCTCTTTAGTTACCTGTTAGCTAGCAGCTGTGACACGGTGCCAGAAGGTGAGGTGAGCGTAATGGAAAGGTCACCACGACGCCTGTGAGTGATGGTAACACGGACGACAACATGCTCCACATAAATCACATGATGCTGGAGCTGGCCAGAGCAGCCCGTAGTCTCACACACAGACAGCAGCGACGAGCCGGGATGAATTGTTCTGATATGAGAGAGAGAGAGAGAGAGAATAAAGAGATGGAAGTGAGCAGCAGAGATCAAAGATGGAGGCAGAAAAAGCAGAGAGAGTAACAAGGAAAGGAGCAGCAGAGAAAATGCCGCCTATTAAACTGTGCGAGAATCAGCATGAGAGAAATCTGTGTAAGGAGCGAGACAGAAATAGATAAAGTGTGATGAAAGGAGGAGGAATCAAGGGAAGCCCCGACTCAAAGTGCAGATCTCCGGCAGTGCGGGTGGTGTGATACCTGCGCGGCTGGGCGGGAGCCTCCTCCACACACTCGTGCTGCGAGGGAACTTGTTTCCAACGCTCGGCCTCCTTCACCATGCTCTCGGCATCCAGCAGGCCAAAGCCATAGAGGTGGCTCACTGACACACACAAACACACACGTACACAGCACATTTGCCGGGGCATAAAAGGCTGTGTAGCTTATAAAAGACATTGCACACTCCTGGGACTTTGTAGGCGTTTATTACTGTTCTGCTCCCAGTGTCTCATTAGTTTGTGTGCTCGCTGTTTGATAGTTTCCCTAAAAAGAGCTGAGAGAACATTTACCAAAATGTGCTTATCAAGCTAAACTCATCTTCTTTATCATAACTTTTTGGAGTTGTATCAAAAGACATCATGTAATTATTCATTTTCTCCCCAAACTATTAGCCGGTGCTGAAATAAAAAAAAGCTGGCAGGAACTGACAATTGGCAGGAGTCCAACGGGAATACCTTTATATCCGGCTCCATTAACGTGCCAGTCAGGAGCGGCAAGATGATGAGCTTTTGATGTCCTGACAATAATGTGCTGCACATCCCTCCAGGTTAGCGAGGGGCTGCGTAAAGGTCAAACAGATAAAAAACATCACACTCTCATCTCCAGGTCGTATCCGTTAATGGGTGCGCCTGCATGTATGGATTCAGTGCGTGGGAGAAACGCTTACTTGGCCTCCAAAGTGAGAGCGATGACTCCTGCAGCCACGGAGGAGGAGAGAGAGGTCGCTGGTTTAGCCCGGCTGCAGCTTTGATGTGGGCCCAACGTTACCTGGCAAGACCCCAGATGTGTATTAATGAGTAGTCGTTGTGTAAGATCAATGGAGATGCTGAATTTTGTATGTATCAATACTGTCGGGTTATTTAATCCATAACTAGAATCTCAACAAATGTTCCACAAATACAAAATATCAGCCGTCCTCTCTTATTTAGTTAGCAGTGAGCAAGTTCGACTTTAGCCTCCCGTCTATTCCACCATATATTGTGTGTACACTAAGGAACTGCTGATTTTTTTATTTATAATACACGATTTCAATGGAAAAACACTCAATCCCTTTCAAAAGTTCCCCCCGAAAATAATTAAAAAGCAAATTAAACATTTGTTACAAGTTGAGCTGAAGGGAGATCACCAACTGAGATTGATAATTATAGTAATTAGAAAATCATAAATCAAGCTAAAAGATTTTGAACTGTAAGAAACAGGAGCGTTTTTGCCGGCTACGCATGATTGTGTTGTTGGCATTTTGTCAGCTGTGTTAACAAAGAGATTGCGGAAAAAAAGAAAAGACCAGCAGAAAACCCCTCAGTAAGCCTGAGGCCAGAGGAGCAGCTCTCAGACTTCCCTGTGTTTCCTCTAATGAGCCGCCCACTCTGCTCACCCGTGACTCCAGCAAATCACATGAAGGGAGAGCACCACCATTTCTGCCATATTCTGCCCTGTGACTCCAAACCACAGAATTAATTTAAACAGAGATTGCATTTCAACTGACGAAACTGTTTGTCTAGGTAAATATAAACATGCAGGTGTTACTTTTAACTCAAACTGTTTTCAAAAAAAGCTTTGCACCTTCAACGGATGTAATTATGTTCTGGATAATCACTGTGTTCCTTCCCTGGTATGTTGCCAAGAAAAACAACAACAACTACTGCCAATCAAACAGCCGGAAAACAAAGTAGAAGTGTGTGATTAGGTCTTCCATAGGAGGATATCTCTGGTGACTTTGAGAAGCTTATGATTTGGCCATATTGTCTAAGCTGGCATGCTACAGTAGGCCTCCTGAGTCTTTGGCTTTCAGGGTGTTTACAAAGGTTTCTACAGTATAATTAGGGAATCAGTAACCCTAGCTCTTGCAATAGCTTTAGTACAATGAATCATTATAAGATTAAAAAAAAGTGCTTTGTCCGTTCAGGGACAAAAATAAAACATCAGAAAACAGGCCCTAAAACCCTGTCATATAGCTTCTAACCAAGCGGCAACCTAACATGTTGAACAAAATGAGGCCAATGCAGAAGTGCTAAAAACTGTAGTTTCTCAAATATCCACTAGAGGCTGGCTAAAATTATCTGGCTCTACTTGTGCTTTATAGCAACTAACGTGCCAGCAAAGAAATCTGGGTTTTAAGCATTTGTTGTGATTAAAATTGTAATTTTAGTGTTTAAATTATATTCTGCACTAGCTAGCAGTGAAACTATGTTCGTACTAAGCCATATTGGGCTTTTTAGCTCATTCACTGTTGGTCACGGCATAGGAGTCAGGATTGTTGATGTTTCCCCAAGAGATATTATGGTGGACAGTAGTGATAAGAAGAGGTTTTGGTGGTACATGTCGCTCACTGGAGATCCAACAAGGAAGTGTGTTGCCCTCTACGCCTCACAGGCTCTCTCAGCTTCTTTAGTCTGATGAATAAAGCTGACCACAAATGGAATCTCACTCTGTGGAAAACTAGTTTATTTACTTGCTAAAGAATTAGCCACAGACCTAAGCTGTTAAACTTAGGTAACTTAGCGTTTGCAGAGGCGCAGATGGCCTCGCAGCAAGGTCGCACCCCATGTACGCCCGGGCAGCCCGGGTTCAAATCCAACCTGTGGCTCCTTTCCTGTATGTGAGTCCCCACTCTCTCTCTCCCTTATTTCCTACTCTATCCACTGTCCTATCAAATAAAGGCAAAAAAAACAGAAAATAAGTCTTAAAATTTTTTTTTTTATAATATAGCATTTGCGAACTGCTTGCCCCAGTCCGGCACCCCCCTCCCCAAAAAAGGGTGACATTTGGCTCCAGAAAACCAATATGGTGGCAATCTATTGCCGAACTCAAGGTTCAAATACACAGTTAAGAAATCAATGGGTGATATCACAATTACTACGTCCATATTTATACAGCTCTATCTTGCCAACTTCATCTTTGACTATGTCTTCTGACTTTAAAATTCTACCAAGTTCAAAGGGAGTGTGTCTGAGGCATATTTGTTTGATTGACAGATGTCTCAGACCATCAAGCTCAACTCCAGAAGTTTTTGCTTGCTTGCCCCCCACTCCAGCCCCCTAGCATCCCCTTCATTTTTCCAAATGTGTGTTTTTTGGCTTTCAGCAGGAAATATGTTATAAGCATTCCCTGGAGTATAACCAAAGTTGCATTTGTCATCATAAAAAAACGATGTGATTTGCAGATTTGCAGTTAAAATAATTTTATTATCAAAAAGAGAGAATAAACATTTTTGCAAATATATCAGAAATGCCGCACCAGCCACCAAGCACCTCAGAGGCAGGCTTATGTGTTTTGAGACTTGAAGGCAACAAATTTAATATCCAAACATGCAACCTAACTCTTTTATTTTATAATCTGTTTAGCTCTGCAGCAAAAGCAAACGGAGCTTTACTAACAGATTTTACATTTTTAACAGCTTTTACATTGCCTTATAATCCATGTCCCGCCTCTTCCTCTTGTAGAATATGCTTGGGCATATCATTGACTATAAGTTATATGGACGTCCTTCAGCTCCTCCCTAAAAATGAAGCCAAAGAGCCCTGCAACAGGTGTTGATATATTTAGATGATGACATCTTTTGGGCCAGGACATGCGCTAAACGGATCTCGCTAGTGGAACCACAAAATCCATGTCCCGTCTCCTCCCCTAACCAAAGCTCACATTCAACAGACTGATACACGTTAAAGATGCCCCAGGTCGTTCCATTCCACAGCAGAAAAAAATATTGTGTCATTTCAAGCGGACCCTTACAGAAATAAAAAGTTCACTCACTCTTGTGTAAGTCTCTTTAAGTTAATCTCACTGTTCCCCTCTACTCTGAATTTTGAGCACCAAAGGATAAAATGCTTTTTCGGTTCAATCTTGGTAAACCTACTCTTTCTGAACTGATGACATCAAAAGAATTTAAGAATTAAATCATGCTTGTAACTGTTTATTTTCCAACACCCATACTGTACAGACTCCCCTAAGGAAATAACCGCCTTTGTTTTATTTCTGGTATTGAACAATGGAACAGAATATCTCTTATGTGTCTCACAGTCTCTACTCACCATATCCCTTGTCTCCGCTCCACTGTAAGCTGCTGCCAGTATGGAGGAGCACCGCTCCAGGTAATCTGGCCGTCTTCCATTGGGAGTGCTGCTGCTGATAGAGATGGTGTAGATGCTGCTGCTGTAGCCGTCACAGGAACAGTGGTCACCTTTTCTTCCTCCGTTTCCTGAGGCCCAGACAAAGACAGAGCCCCTCCCCTGCCGGCCCTAAGATGAATTGAGAAAGCAGACAGAGTTGATTAATTTATTTATGGTAATCATCGATAAGGAGAGAAATACAAGCCTTTGAAATAAATAAACAGCTGCAGGTAAGACAGAGATAAGCAGCAGCCCATGTGTCTTATTCTTTCACACACAAACTATTTCTCTCACATTTTGTAGGCCATTCTGTAGAGCAAGAAGAGTCAGAGGCCCAGGTCCTTCAAAAGTGGCCCCATCATCTTGTGGCCCCCAGCTAGCTAAGTAAATATCAATGTACTGTGGTCTGAAGCTCAGGGATTGGGCCTCCACAATGTCTGTCACATCTCCATCCAGCATGCGGATGCCTACAGTTTAGGGGGGAAGAAGAGTTAAAAACAATAAAGTTTGAATCCAAATCACAGAGATTTTGTCCTCCAGAAGTCTTTCCCTCTCGTTTCTTGCCGTCTCAAGGACTCACCGCCTATGCGTGCGTGGAAAGACACTCCAACCGTGCACCGAGAGTTATTTGCAGCTGCCGCAACCGTCCCTGCACACTGAGTCCCATGGCTTTCAGAGAAAAGAGGAGAACATCAGAACGCGAGGTTAGATACATATTCATGAGGAGAAGACAGGCTATTTCCGTTACATCAAACCAGTGAAAAACAGAATTCAGACCGGAAAATCTGCATATCCATATATGCATATAATTGCTGGAAGAAAGGAAAGTATGCATTAATTAAAGTTAGGGAAAGGGGAAAAAACAGGTGCCATGGAGATAAACGAAGTACTCACTAGTTGGGAGCATTATTGGAATAATCGGGAGAAGGATCCTGATCCTGTCCGTTCACATCATAGCTGGCAAAAGGATCCTGAAACAGATTGATATGAAAAAGTACCACATGATTCACCATACAGGCGGCCATTTTCCTCTTACATCATGCTCACCTCCTAGCTTATATTACTGTTTGCTAACACGACGCTGAGTGCTCACATTAGCTTAGCGTTTGAGGTTTGTTATACAACTGGAATGGTATAAACAGACTGAACTTTGTAAAGACAACACAAATGACGATAATATTTTAGCAATTGACCACTTCCTTGCTAACATACTATTAGGCAGGAATATTTGCTATCGTATTGTACAACACCATCAAAAAGCATTCCCCACTTAGCGCTAACCTTAATATTAGCTTGGCTAATTGGATAGCACCAGCAGAAGCTATATAGTTACACTTATTTTAGCAATACATTAATTTATTTTCTATCATGGTACAACACTATCAAAAGGTGTTGTAAGCAGCCGTTTCCTAGCTAACAGTTATATTAGATTAGAATTTATGGCTAAATTCTAACAATAGCTTTTGTCCGGCTGTTGCGCTTTCAACTGTTAATAAGTAAAGAAAAAATTCAATTAGAACAACGTTTAAATTTGGTTCAACTTTCATCCTAACCCTAACACAGTATTTCAACAATATTGGCATTTGAGCTTCCCACCCTCAGTGTGATGTCAGAGGAAAATGGCCGCTGTGTGAGTATGATGAATAAGACACCAGCCGCTATCTGTCTCTGTTTCATCAGACAAATCACAAAGAGCATTATTCACCAGTCCACAAGACAGTTAAGTGAATCAGACGTTTAATGTCCATTCCAATACTCTTGGCCGGCCTTTCAGAACCTTTTGGCCCAAAAGCTCTGCCTGCAATATCTATCTCAGCACTGCGCTCTTACTCTAAGAGCTCTGCCAAATTGCTTATGATTAATGTCCCCTTCAAAAGAACAGCATCCCATCCCAGGGCACTTACATAATTTGGCTTCAGATCCGGATGCTCTCTCTCAATGCCATCATCTAGGACAGACACCACCACACCCTTCCCAGTGTACCCCCTCCTCCAGGCCTTTGCGATGTTCATACCAGACTGGCAGCCTTTGGATTCATCACTGCAGTGCTGTGGAGCAAATTGTGGGACAACAAATTTAGCCCTAAGGAATATTAAGAATAAGAATAATTCAGGGTCTATTTTAGGCTCTGTATATCTGGGTTTGTGTGTCTGTTTTCAAAATGTAGCTTAGTAGGGGGAAAAAAATCAGCTTACAATATACCACGGACTGTTCCACACTGAGTCATTGTAGTGCTGTGTCTGTGTGCGACTGGATCCAAGATGATCGCCAGGAGGGCGTTGGGTCTTCATGTCACTGGAATAGATGTGACCGACCATTGGGTTCCTTTTTACTCTTCTCAGGACCATCTGCTGTTGGAGCCATTCCACCTTGAAAGGGGACATTCAGAGTACTTGTACAGATATAAACTCGTAAAACAGTAAGGTTTAGGTAAAGATCTGACAATCTCATGCTTAGTCTAACACTTTAGTCCGGATTTCCTTTTTTATGGATGTATTGTCATGAAATTTGGCACAGACATTCATGGCCCCAGAGGATGAATCCTCAAGACAACAACTCAACTCTAAGGAGTAGTCTCCAGTGTTTGAATTTGGACTGCACTACCCATTTTAAACACTAGTTGTCAGAATCACATTTCATTAAGTGCCACCAGCATGTTAAATCGTCAGTTAAGATGGGGAATCTGCTGTCTTTTACTTCACTCTCAACATTTGTAAAACATTAGAATGATCTCCTTAAAATTTGATTACTGTAGTCACAATAGTGTGACCGGCTTCACAATCTAGCACAGCACGTATCTATTTAACAATGATGAATATGGCTGATCTACTGTAAAAATGTATTTGTAGCCAATCGTTAAATAAGAGAAACTAAATGGAAACTTAACCAATTAGCAGTTGTATTAGCAACATTTGCTCCATGAATTAATTAATAAAGGAAGTCTCAGACTCAATTTGTATTGTTAAAAATCAAAAGATGCATGATTCTGCAGTCAAATATATTGGTCAGGGTGGGGCGTAGCAAAAGGTCATTTGATTATGTGACTACAGTCCGTTTGATCGTGTTAAACCAGAAAGTCAGTCTGTGAAATGTAATGGCTAAAATTACCCAAACAACAAGCAGTTTGGGTCATTTTCATGTGGCAAATTGCTTCTACCGTGAATCATAAGACTAATTTTTCTGTTCTGTTTTCCATTGGCGTCAGTGTTTTAGAAGCCCTAAGAGACCTTGTCCCGGCAGCAGAAGCCAGGCTCTCGAGTAGACGGAGCTCCCCAACCTACAGCGAGGTGATCGTTCCCACAACCACCACCGTCCTCGTTCATGCGCGGCCTGCTCCAACCTCCACATCAGCGGCAAGGAAGTGTGGACAACAGGAACGTGGGGAATACAAAGGAGAAATCCTTCCTGCATCTTATCCCATCTCCCCCTAGCCCATTTTTCTTTTGTAACAAAACAATGAGTAAGGTCTTTTACCTGCTTTTTGTAAAGTGCCTCGAGACAGCATTTGTTTTGAATTGGCGCTATACAAATAATGATTGATTGAAGGTCTTAGAAAAAACTTTTTTTTAAAGATGGAAATAAGCCAAATTTTTCCTTCAATGTTATGAGAAGTGATACTGGCCGTTTTGTTCTGACTTCTTTGCACCCGGCCTGTGTGAGGCCATACTGTAAGGAGACGGGTCTGTATAAGGGGCCAGTGTATGTACATGAATGTCAATGAGCTGTGTTTGTATCTGGGGGTAGGGAGGTGACATGATGCTGATGAATAATCCAGCACAGTCTTCCACTTCTCCTCATATCACATTACTATACCTTGGTCTCCTTGGCGATGCTAAGAGTCACCTCACTGTTGGACATGGCAGACCGCGTTGCTGTCTCACGGTGGCGAAATCTGTAATAACTCCTCAGGTCTCCGATCTGGTGAAACAGACATCAAAACCTCTAAATTAATTTGTTGTCGGGAGTGTTGCTCATCCCGCTCAGTCTCTGTAATAAACAGCTGTTGAATTTTTAAACTGGCTTTGGTGTCTTTCATTAAGGCGGCTACCTTACACCTGTGATAGTTTTGCAGGCCATGGCAACCTGAGCCACGAGACTCCACACTGCTGCTCATGTGTGTGCGTGTCTCAGCCCATAATGCCATGACGTAAACGGTTTCTTTAGTGTGTATAAGGGGAGGACGTCTGGGTGATTTATGTTTGATAAAACAAATCACAAGTGGGCCATTTTCTGTGATGGACAACTTTAAATTATGATTCTAATTTAATCCTGATGGCCTGTTAGTGAAATTTTCTTTTGACCTTATCAATATTTTTCAAGTTTAAAAGGCTATTTTTCATGTTCATAACACCCATAGAGAAACATGGACACGAGACATGCAACTTTCATTACAGCACCCTTCCTAAGGGAGCACTGTTGCATTTTATTGTCCTGGGCTTCATAACTTGCCCTGTTTTATTCATTTGCTTTATTACTTATCGATCTTTGCTTTTATCCGGTCATTCTGTGGGTGTATTGACATGTCTGGTCTGATTGATTTCATGTTTTTTATTTCCATCTTGTACATGATTACTGGAGAATTATTTGCAGCCCTTATTAAAATCGCAATTAAGTGCTGGATCTTGGTTCATGGACGTTTTTACTGTTCGAATAATTAAAATTATATGGTCTGGGTTAGAATAATGAAATGGAGGTAAAAGCTGAGAGAAGCAAATTAGATTTTTTGGCAGCTTTGTCTCCTTCTCACACCCACGACCATTCAGACAGGATTGTAATGTAGATGAGCAGCTGCTGATTCTTTTAATATAAAAACTTCTCTCGGTCTCCACAACAGTAAAAAAAAAAAAAAAAAAATTCACTCTGTCTGCTGGCTACCTCATTTTGCAGCAGCAGAGTGGCATTTTAGTCCTACCTCTAAAAGCAAAGTTTATTACATTTTTTTTTTTTTTCATTTTGAAGGCTGATACATCTACAGCAGTAACAGTTTCATGGCTGCTATCTATGATTGGGGTCTTCTTAAAAACTAACATAAAACTGCGAACAGAAAAACATTACAACAAAATAATGACGTATATTTGCACTTAATCTGGCATCAAATACATGTTTGTTACTTACCCAGACGGATTTTTACAATAGTACTGTTTAATGAGTCTGATGTCATCTACATCCGATGCATTGGAGTGGTTTTATAACGATTTGAGGCCTACTTGTACAATAGTTACTAGATTTTGTCTGGACTTTTTGTCATACTTTTTTTTTTTTTAAATGTAACGCTTTTCAATGGGATGACTGTTGACACCATTGACACAGGCCTAATAAGATCGCAAACGGTGAAACTCTGAGTCTGAGCCTCTCTATCGACAGATGGATCAAGAAAAATTATCAAGAGTGCTCGCTACGCAATCCTTTTAACAGTAACTTGAAACAAACCTACCTGTCCCATATTAGTAAATCCATGTTTCTCTGCTATCTTATTGACAGAGTCGTGGTCAGCTTTTATTTTTATCGCCCAGTCGTTGCTGTAAATCGTTGCATGACAAAATTGAAGCTGAGTCCACATCCACAGCGCGTAAAGACGCACCATGACTGCACGGATAAAGACGCTTCCTCTAATTAGACGGCTCTCAGGTGTTCCTTCAGTCTGATCTCCTGCGAAAAGTGTCTGTCATAGCGGAAAATTAGAAGCGGAAGGGTCTTTGGCGACTGAAGTTGTCAAGACTTGAGTCTTCCACGGGGAACAATCAGCTATCAGATTACTTCAACATGGGAGCCAGGGATCACCTGTGGACGGCTCTGTGAAAGGATCCGAACTGTGGTTACAGCCTAAAATGTCCCCCCCCCCTCCCCCCAACCACCACCTTTCAGCCTTATCCGTGTAATGCAATATTTTTTGAATGACATCTACCTCATTAATATCCTCTATTGTAGTCAGTTTGTAAAATAGCAACGTGGTGCAGAAGTGGCCAAATAGGAGAAAGGTGAACCGACTTTAAGTGGATTGTACCATAAAATATAGGCCTATGTTTAGGCACTTTTTTTTAGGTACTTTTCTTTTAATAGATATAACCTGTTTTGTATTTGCATTTTATGCAGCTTTGATTGTTATTTAATTGGCTTTTTTCTCTTTTGTTTTTTTGGGTTTTTTTATACTTTGTTTTTATTTTTTTTCAGAGTTACTTCATTCATATGGTTAACATTTCATTTCAACAAACATGTTTTCAACATAAGATGTTGAAATGAATCAAAGAAGAAACTACCCCCAAGAAAAGAAGCATGGATTGTAATTTAATTGACTTTTGATGCAAACTTAAAGATTGACTGAGAAAATATGGAAGTATGTGAGAAAATACTACTCTACTTGGATAATGTAGAAATGCAGTGCCACACGTTTGGAAACGTTTTTTTCTCCTGAAACTTTTTAGACACTTGACTGTTAACAAAGTTGATGTATGGCTGTGCATTAAGTTACCCAACTGTTCATACAGTAAGGTAGATAAAATGAGTCAAACTCGCAAACCTCTTTGAAAAACCAGCTCCACCTCAACCTGTTTCAGCCTGTGGTGAAAAATGCATGCATTGATCGATATATCAATTCTAATCTGTCACTAGAACCATTTCTTGCAGGAAAAAAATCTTCGACATTAGATTCTTGTTAACTGGTTTGTTGATCATTCTGCAGCACTTTTATTGATTTGGAATAAATAAGCCTGCTTTCACTCACCATTTTGACTTGTGTTTTGACACGTCTACTTTCGTCTTCCAAGATGGATGAGTACACAGCATTAGCGTGATAGAGTCTGATTTAATGATCTATGTATCACATCTCTACACAGAGAGTTTGTTTCAGTACATTTATCTATTTGTTCCTAATCAACAGGAGATGTGTATTCTGTCACCTCCTTGGCCTACGTGAACTGGGAGTCAAGTCTTATCCAAAACCCAGAGGATGTTTAAAGCATTTTAGGGAGTCAATAATATTTGCCCAGAGGCGATATATTTCAAATTCTGTTTTTGGCCAAATGCCTTCCCCCCCTGGCACCAGCAGCCTCTGTATTGTGAAGGGATATCACTGCATTTAAGAAAATACACTGCTGTAACTGGGTCAATCTGAGGCAATCAGAAAGAAAATCCTTCACAGCGAATAAGAGAACCATCAAAAATATTCTTGTTTTTAATCTCACAATTCGACACAGATGGAAAAAAACTAGACCCATGAGTGGAGATATATTGTGATAGTAAATTAAGAAAACGGCAGCATGTAGTGAATGTTTTGGACCACAGTGTAAATTGGAGTGTGATTGACTTTTGCTGTATGAAATATTTTTTAGAAATCCAAAATACAGTACTGTACTCTAAATATGAGCTGCAGACAATTAGCTTAGCTTAGCACAAGAACTGGAAATTGGAAAATAAAAGATCAGCACTATGCCAAAAGCTACATAAATAAATTCCCCTCCCAGCACCTGTAAAGTTCATTGATGGACACAAACCTGGACCAGTATCTTCCCAAACCCTCAGCTGGTTCTAAACATGTGCTGTATAAAGAATGGACGGTTAAATACCTCACCTCAAGTGAAGCAAAAAGATTTAGACCTTCCCCTGCGGTCTGGCTGTAATATAGGCCATACACTCCGCCTCCTCAATGTTAACAGATGGATATTGGTCAAACTTTAATTTTCTCAAAACCAACTTTCACCCTGATTGTTATTATCACTCAATTTTTCCCGAGAAGTTTCTTGTTTACTTGATGCTTAAAACAGCATATAATGCCAAATCTCTGTTAATGAATGTGGCACCAGCAGCGGCATGTGCACTGGATTAGCAAAGTAGAGCAGAAACAGCAAAGAGAAAATTCAACACAAAAACTAAAATAAGAGTCACAGATGGAAATTGTACTTTCAAGGGCATTCTTAGAAATCATTTTGCAGCAGGTTAAATCGTAAAATGTCATTTCATGTTTTTTATTTATTTTTAATTCATAAAGAGGATGCTTTATGGGCTATGTTCTTTTACCAAGGATGTCTTTGGACATAATAATTGAAGCAGTCCTTCTGAAAAAAGATCCAACTCAGCAGTGGTTTAGAAGTGAAAGATATTTCAACGGCTATTTGTAAGACATAGATTCATCGTCTTTGTCCAGTCGACGTTTTGGTCGTTACAACACCCCAGAATACTTAAAACTCCTTCACTTGGGGAAAAGACTCACTCACAACAATGTATGGCGATGAAATGTCTTAAATTTAAAGGAATCTGAGGATTACGATGAGATGAAACATGTTCCAGTATGTGTTCATTATTTTAGACAAAATGTTGCCTGTTTTGCATTACAACCAGTTGGTATTCATTTAATTATGGGAGTCAAAATGTGAGCCAACCTTACACTTAACTGTTTAAAAAACAACAAAGAAAACAAAGTAGAAAATCATCCAGAAACATTAGTTTTGTGGAAGATCTCTCTTTACTTTTCAATAATGCGCTCCTTCCTTTCCATTGATGTGGTTCATAGTATACATTACATACTATGACTTTATTTTACCGCATTAGTACCCCCGAGCTCAACATGAGAGATAACAATATTATATCCACCGACGCTGATCTTCAGGGACGGTAATTCCAATTAATGCCACAACATAAGTCATATAATTATGTCCCCAGAGACCTGTTATGTGTGTTGCAGGTAAATGAGGTTCATAACGTGATATATAATGCATGTTGTTCGAGGATCCCGTACTAATTAAGAGGAGTTGTTGGCAGGAGCCTCTTGTTACTGGTTTGATGCCTTGGGAAATAAAAGCCAAAAGCTGATTATTAAGGCGGCAGTAGGTGTCATGTCAGTCTCTCAAAACAGATAAAACAGATTCAAAACAAGCATTGGAAGATGTCATAAAATGCACTCTGAATTCAGATGGTATTTATGAAAATGATCCCCCTGCACAATTGATAACATATATTTTACATAAGAGTCCACATTATGTATTTAAAGTAATTACTGAATGACCCGTTTAGTTTTTCTTAGAATTATTTGTAGTTGTTGACAAAGTGCAGAACACTTGCCCTTTAATGTTGGGGGGGTTATTTAGTGTAGCCCTTGAGCAAGGCACCAAACCCAACCAGCTCAGGAGTGCCTGATTGGGCAGCCCCCTCACTCTGACATATCTCTATTAATGCATGTCCAGGATCCTTTTTGTGCTTGTGTTTCTGTCAGCCTATGTGGACATATCTCAACAACAGAGTGTAAAATTGAATTTCCACTTGCAGGATTAATAATACATATCTTGCAATGAGCCTAGGCGCTTAATGCAAACAATGTTCCGCTGTCACAATAAACCATTACAACATGACGTGTCTCACTGAACTATGTTTGAGGTAAAATTATGTTTGAAATATAATGCTTATAATTTTGAACTATTTGTTCAGCTTTGTTGCCTTTTTCTTTAGCTTTATGTTCTTAATAGTCTCCTGTTAATAAGACCATAGAAGAAGAAATCCACTTAAGATGATTCTGTCTTTAATTTTAACCACCGAAACCTTGGTTTTTATAAACGTCCTTCAATAGAAAGTTAAATGAAACATTTTGGTAATGCACTTGTATACAGCAAATGGTAAATGTCAGTCAGTAGCTGGTTAGCGTAGCTTAGCATAAAGACTGTAAACAGGGGAAACAGCTAGCCTGCTTCTGTCCAAAAGGAGATCATTCTGAATTCCTCAGAATCTCACTGATCAACAAGTAATGTGTTTCATGTTTTTAAATGGAAAAACCTACGGAAACCTTGTTACGATTGACAATGAGTGTGAAAATGATTGAAAGAAAATGCTCTCTGTTTAGACCAGAAAAGAAAAAGATGTTACTCTGAAACTCTTAATTAGAAGAATAAATGTACACTCATTTCCCAAAAATCTAACTTTCAGGATGTTTTATTTATGCTGCATGTCATGATCACATACTGACTCATGGTGATTTCTAAATAAGCAGAAGAAGAACATGTCTCTCTGAGCTAATTGGTTACCCATCTGTCAGAATATGTTGTTAGTTAAAAATCATTTTCCAGTTTTTTTAGTGTCCATCGTGTCCTTGGATTGCAAATGACAAAGAACAGGTTCATGACGCAATGTCAACTCACAGTCTTTATCATCTACTCGACGATGGAGAAGAAAACAAACTAGCAGAACAAAACAAAGGGAAAGCACCTCTCGGCGAAGCAGTCACAGGACTTTGAAGTTATCTAACATGTCTTCAGAGAGACTGACTTTGATGTTCAGAGGACTCTTCTCACACAGTGACACATTCCCCTGAAAATAATTGTCAAGCGTGTTCCTCAGCACATATACTGCCCCGCAGGCAGCACAGACATGAACTCTTGTTTGTTCTTTGTTCAGAAATTCTTCTCACTATTTTATGAACTCTTATTGTTCTGCGTCATGACATGCGGAGGTAAGAAAATGACATTTTTTCAGCTCTGCATACTTTCATACACAGCATTTATTTATCTGTTGATGTTTGGATTACTTCTTTAGTTTCTTCATTTATTATCTATCACTTACACGTGTATTGGGTTAGTAGGCTGTCTTCCAAAAACTAGAGATGTTTGTTAGTTATCAATCCATCATTATGAATTAAGGAAGATGTCAATATTCCTTTCTCAAAGTAAGCAGGGCTACATTTGTTGTT